GTGTCACATTATTAGTAACGTCTTACAGATAATTAGTAACGTGTTACAGATCATTAGTAACGTCTTACAGACAATTAGTAACGTGTCACAGATAATTAGTAACGTGTCACATAATTAGTAACGTGTTACAGATAATTAGTAACGTGTTACAGATAATTAGTAACGTGTCACATTGTTAGTAACGTGTCACAGATAATTAGTAACGTGTTACAGATTAGTAACGTGTTACAGATAATCAGTAACGTGTTACAGATAATTAGTAACGTGTTACAGATAATCAGTAACGTTTTACAGATCATCAATAACGTGTTATCATAAAACGTGCCAATTTCTTTTTACTGTAAATGTGGGTTTACTCTCCAACACACCGGTGTGCTAGCACGTTTTGTTTACGTGACAAACCTTACTGATTGGCTGTGTTGGGCGTTGGTGGGACAACGACACATTTATATTTACACGATCTAACTCAAAAAAACCTTTACTGTGAATAATATTGGTCGTGAAAGCCTACGTGGTGTATATTTAAGTTCGTTTTCCAGAAGGAACCCTCAGTTCACCCCTCCTCAAGCGCGGTGCTTCTGCAGGTGGAGGTTAACAACTGGTCGTGTGGTGAGGTTAGGCTGGATAAGCTCAAGCACTGCACAGCCCCTGCATGAATTATGTAACGTGTCCTCGTGTAGCTGTGCACCACGGGAACAATGGGGGGGGCAGGGGGAATATGTCCTTCGCCTGGTTGATTGCCAATCCCAAAGTTGGCAGCAGACGAAGGTGTTGCTGCTGTTCGTGCAGGGGGCACGAGTCAACAATGATCAGCTGTGGAAGGGACGAGAGAAACCCATCGTGACAGAATACAGGTGCTGGCCAAAAAAAAACCACATACTGCTTGAAACGTAGCGGATTAAGCTAATGTTTAAGTTGTTTTTTATTTCTTACACCCTTGATTCCATTTAGTCAGTTTCGCGGCTGTGTTCGCATTGAAGTCGAGGAGACTCCACGTACGATTTTTCGGGGAATACGCTGACGATGTGACCATCGCTGACAATATGGTGCAAATAAAGACGTAGCCGGTCCACCGTTTATCACTGCTGCTGTCATTCGGTCACATCTGTTCACGCATTTATTTGGTGACGTAAGAGGACCGTGACGCACTTCCTCATGATATGCCGAATGCGTTTGAATATGCACAAAGGCTTTGTGCCTTTCAGACATTCCTGTGGTTTAAAACGTGATTAAGGGCATTGATGCAATCGACAAGATGGGCAGTTATTTTTTTATTACAATTTGTTTCGCAAAACATGTTTGATCTTGATGTGAACGATAAGCTTTGTTTAAGTCTTTTGATTAACTTTTATTTATTTTCATTGACACAGCACCATCTACAGCTCCAAGACGCGTATCCTATTAAACCCACGGTTCTGTTTTGGAATCAGAAATACATCGTCACCGACTGAAGGGAGTTAAGGCTAATGCGATATTAGAAAGTTTGAAAATTGCTATTTGTGCGACATCCTGTGATATACACATGGACATTTAATATATAAACGTATTTTTTTGTTTGTTAATGACTGCCCACGAGCTCCACATCTATGTTGCGCGTTCCCACTTGGTAAGAAATAGGGAAAACAAAGTTTTCGCAATAAAATAAGCAATCCTATAGGTTACATGAGGATTCCATACTCTTTGGTTATTTCGGTAAAGTCACGTAGGTAGAGAAAATAATAGATCACGACGTGTCGATCGCAACAACAAGCGACCGTCTTCACCTGAAGACGGTCGCTTGGTAAAGTCACCTACGTCACCTAAGTACGAAAGAACCAAAGAGTATGGATTCCTGCAGTCACGAAAGCTTTAAATCTACATGAGGATTCTTAAATATAATTAGTATTTGTTACCACGCCAAGACAATTGTTAATAATTCCTTACACAATGCCATGTAATTGTGTTTTTTCTTCGTTTACCGCTGCATGCATTACTGCATGTGCACAAATACAAAGTCATAATTTGATCGATGATGTGCACTCAGGATTACTCAGAAGTAAAAAAAAAACACAGGGCTAATAAACACTTAAAAAACGAGGCTTGTGCTCTCACACCATCTTTATTTTCTGTTTTGAAGGCACTGCATTTGAAGATGGGAGAGTGAGGATGTTCTCATTTACAGCCTTAAACACTTGCAAGAGCAGCATAGGAAGGACCCTGCTTTAGAACAAATGACACAAACAGTAAACCTCTAAATCAGAAGGCATGAAGAACCCACGATTGCAGGCAATGTTATCTAAACCATTTGTTGTTATTTTACCAGGTAAGGCCCACTGAGCTCTATAGCTCTTTTTCAGAAGCGACCTGGCCACAAATAAGAGCTCAACTAAGTGTGCTTATTACGTGGAAATGTATAGCAGCCAAATACTCTACAACGCATGTTTCTAAATGTAGAGGGGAAAACCCGGAGGACCTTGAGAACAATCCACCCAACCACAGTGAGAGAGACATCCAAACTTCAAATAAACAGGCGGCAGGGTCGGGATGGAACCAACGACCTCCTTCATACGAGGCGAGGGAGTTAACATCTATTAAGTTCAGAAGGAACCATGAGAATGGATGGCAACTGGAGAATGAGACGAGCAATGGAGTGCCACAGGAGGGAGGGAACACACACGGGGAGACAACTCAAGGGGAGATGGCACAGTGAAGTCATCACGGGTGGAACATTTGGGTGAGTATCGGGTACTGGTAGGCGGTGACAGGGCCGAGTGGTCGCGCGATTTGTGCCGCCCGTTGCAAAAGGTTCGCAATTTGTGGTCATCCATCATCGCTATTGGCCATTTAATTGTATTAAATATAACTATGAGTTGGACAGCAGAAGATAATGGCGTTGGTGAAAATGCTAAGACCCATTCAAACAATTGGGCCAAATGTAAATTACGACTTTGAACTGAAATATTTTGATGCACATTAAAAGGACAAACACATCTTTTTCAAATATAATAGCGCACATACAGTGAGGGAAAAAAAGTATTTGATCCCCTGCTGATTTTGTACGTTTTCCCACTGACAAAGAAATGATAAGTCTATAATTTTAATGGTAGGTTTATTTGAACAGTGAGAGACAGAATAACAACAAAAAAAATCCAGAATAACGCATGTCTAAAATGTTATAAATTGATTTGCATTTTAATGAGGGAAATAAGTATTTGACCCCCTCTCAATCAGAAAGATTTCTGGCTCCCAGGTGTCTTTTATACAGATGTAGGGGTGCTATGGGGAATAAACACATGGCACGGGAAGGTGTGGTTCACCCACACCTTGGTGGCTACAACAACGTCCGCTAAGGCTCCAGTGGGTATAAAGTGCGGGGAGCCAGGGAGCTCGGGGCAGAGTGTGGGGCCCGAGGCTGAAGCAACCAGTGAAGAAAGAAGGCCAGCTAGGTGAGACCCTGGAACTCCTGTGACCGCTGCCCTTTTCAGGGCCGGCACAGCAAGCCAGTGGTGCGGCCCCAGAGCCCCAGAGTCCTTCTAAGGGCCGGTCTGGTCGGCGGGGTGCCGAGATCTGTGCCTAACCAGGGCCGGATCTGATAGCCTCCCTTAGAGCCCTACCAAGAGGAACTGGGAGCCTAGAGCTTAGGCTAGAGAGCCTGGGGTGTGTTCCTGAGTTATACGGGTGGAGGGGCCGCTACCCCTTCTAGTGTAACCCTTGTTAAGGTTTAAATAAATAGTGCTGCTTCTATTCTGCCGTCTCCGTGTCCTGGAACCCACTACACAGGTAACGAGCTGCGATTAGGAGCACACTCTTAAAGGGAGTGCTCCTAATCTCAGCTTGTTACCTGTATAAAAGACACCTGTCCACAGAAGCAATCAATCAGATTCCAAACTCTCCACCATGGCCAAGAGCAAAGAGCTCTCCAAGGATGTCAGGGACAAGATTGTAGACCTACACAAGGCTGGAATGGGCTACAAGACCATTGCCCAGCAGCTTGGTGAGAAGGTGACAACAGTTGGTGCGATTATTCGCAAATGGAAGAAACACAAAAGAACTGTCAATCTCCCTCGGCCTGGGGCTCCATGCAAGATCTCACCTCGTGGAGTTGCAATGATCATGAGAACGGTGAGGAATCAGCCCAGAACTACACGAGAGGATCTTGTCAATGATCTCAAGGTAGCTGGGACCATAGTCACCAAGAAAACAATTGGTAACACACTACGCCGTGAAGGACTGAAATTCTGCAGCGCCCGCAAGGTCCCCCTGCTCAAGAAAGCACATATATACATGCCCGTCTGAAGTTTTCCAATGAACATCTGAATGATTCAGAGGACAATTGGGTGAAAGTGTTGTGGTCAGATAAGACCAAAATGGAGCTCTTTGGCATCAACTCAACTCGCCGTGTTTGGAGGAGGAGGAATGCTGCCTATGACCCCAAGAACACCATCCCCACTGTCAAACATGGAGGTGGAAACATTATGCTTTGGGGGTGTTTTTCTGCTAACTGGACAGGACAACTTCACCGCATCAAAGGGACGATGGACAGGACCATGTACCGTCAAATCATGGGTGAGAACCTCCTTCCCTCAGCCAGGGCATTGAAAATGGGTCGTGGATGGGTATTCCAGCATGACAATGACCCAAAACACGCAGCCAAGGCAACAAAGGAGTGGCTCAAGAAAAAGCACATTAAGGTCCTGGAGTGGCCTAGCCAGTCTCCAGACCTTAATCCCATAGAAAATCTGTGGAGGGAGCTGAAGGTTCGAGTTGCCAAACGTCAGCCTCGAACCCTTAATGACTTGGAGAAGATCTGCAAAGAGGAGTGGGACAAAATCCCTCCTGAGATGTGTGCAAACCTGGTGGCCAACTACAAGAAACGTCTGACCTCTGTGATTGCCAACAAGGGTTTTGCCACCAAGTACTAAGTCATGTTTTGCAGAGGGGTCAAATACTTATTTACCTCATTAAATGCAAATCAATTTATAACATTTTTGACATGCGTTTTTCTGGCTTTTTTGTTGTTATTCTGTCTCTCACTATTCAAATAAACCTACCATTAAAATCATAGACTGATCATTTCTTTGTCAGTGGGCAAACGTACAAAATCAGCAGGGGATCAAATACTTTTTTCCCTCACTGTAGTGTAAATATGTGACATTGATTCACCTGCAGCATGAATGCAACCATTACTAAATTATGCTGTAGGTAACAAGAACATTTCCAATGGAACATCTACACCCGTGTAGCATGTCAGCTCACGACACATGTTGTCCATGGCGTGTCGACAAATTATTCTGGACTCTGACAAAAATGTGCAGCTAATACCTAGAATTAAACACCGTGGTAATCTTGAGACTCGTGCCATCATCTGATTCATACTGCCTGGCCGACTTGAACGCCGTTCGCTTTGTGAGGTACCTGCTCTCGCTCCGTCTCGGCACGTTCAGTCCTTCTCGACAGCTTTCTTCAAGGCTGCGTTCAACCAGGTCGGTGTGATATGCTTCCCAGCGTTCAGCGTCAATCTTACGGCTATTGTCGTATTCATCTTCTTGATCAAACATAACGCGAGAGCTCCTTTTGTGGCCGTAGAGCCTCCTGTCATCATCATCATAATCATAAACAGGACCTCTTTCGTCATTCCTCCTCTTGCTTATGGCAGTCAGATGAGATTGGGAATTGACTCTTCCATTGCCTCGATTCAAACTATTCTGAGAAACAAGATTTATTCTATCGGAATCCTCCAAGCGGTCACTGTAGCTCTGCGAAGGCATTTCCTCAGTCCATGATGGGCTACACGTGTCTTCCACGTTTTTAGAATAGACTTCCTGTGAAATTTCCTGACGGAGATTGGCATCGGGATGCGTGGAGCGCAAACGAACTGCCAGACTCTGCGCCCGAAATGTATCTTCCGGACTCCTAAAATATGCTTCATCCGTTTTTCTCACCTGATACCTGGCATCAGAATGCGGGGAATAACCACTTTCTGGTCTTCCTTGCAGATACTTTTCATCTGAACTTGAAGAATAATCTCTCTGTGACCGTCCCAATCGACATTCAGAATCAAGACTAGGAGAATAACCTCGCTCTGGTCTTCTCTGTCGACATTCAGAATCAAGACCAGGAGAGTAACTTCGCTGTGATCTTCCTTGCCGATATTTAGCATACGGACTTGGAGAGTAATCTCGCTCTGATCTTCCCTGCCGACATTCAGAATCAAAACCAGGAGAGTAACCTGGCTCTGATCTTCGCTGCCGATATTTGGAATCATGGCTTCGAGGATGATTTCCCTCCTGCCTCCTCTCCAAATGATTAGATTTCGAACTCTTGTGTCGCCAAACACACGACGATGACCAACTCCTCTTGTCTTCACCGTGGCTTATTCCAACAAAAACGGTGTCATCTCGGCCATCAGGGCTTCCACTGTACCTTCTGAAATCCATTCTGGGGTTCTCACCTGTATATCTGCTGTCCGCGTGCCTGTGGTTTCCGTTTGGCCCTAGCCTGGCTCTGAGGTCCCTTTTTCTCCCACCCTTAAGCCCAGTTAAGCCGCCTCGCTCGACACGGTCTCCAACGCTCCCAACTTCGTCTCTGCTGCTGCAACTGCCGCTGTGGTGGCTGCTGGTGTGGTTGTGCCGCAGAGATCCATTACTGCTTCCGAGCTCCGTAGCTGATCGGCTGTGGTGTGGATCCTGCCTCTCGGTGTGACCCTGCTCCCTCGGCTGCATTGCCTGCTGCTGCTCAACACGCAGGGAAGTCAGGCAGGTCTTAAACAGCTGTCGTGTATCGGCCAATGGTGATGGTGAAACCTAACAAAGGGCGACAGATTTGGTAAATAATGTCATCATCATCAACAACATCATCATCATTGATCAAATCTACTTCTGACTGCAACTTCACTGCAATAAGGCTGCCCTGTAGAGATGCTGCTGCGACACCTGGCATCATAACCCTGGATATAAAACAATTTATTCTGGGGATAAACTCTCTCGGGGTCTTCCTTGCCGATGCTTGCATCAACATTTCTAATCTATACAGACTATAATGCGCACAATGCACATGGTGCCAGTTACACTCAAGGAATTCCACACTTAAGTTGCCTGCAAAAATTATGACGTTATACAATTGCCATGCTGTACATTACCCAGATTTCTTTGTTGTAAAGCGCAAATGTAATGAATAGCTATTCATTTACTACCTTGATTTCCAAGTTAATTACTTCAGAAGTATTTTGTGTAGACATAAATTAAAACTAAATTAAATGAACAAGGGTAGCTAGTATATGAGGATATGTTACCAAATTGATGATGCTATTATCTTGGACATTATATGGTATGATATTTCGGCAACCTTACTGACCATTTAAAAATTCCAAGATTTTTAAATAAAGCCTACATGAATAAATAAAAAAAAATGTTCAATATACTTTCTCTGGTAGGTAGATATAAGGTACAGTATCCCTCGTTATTCACCAGGGATACATTCCGGAGATGCTTGTGAATAGCAAATTTCGCGGATAACGATATTGGCCTACGAATACCAATATTTTAAATTAATTAACTTAAATATATACGGAAATAAGCTATTAAATACATGAAAATGATAATAACACAATGAAAAAATTGGTTAAACATAAAGTAAATAAAAATAAATATAAACATTTCAAATAATAGTTTATAAATGAACCTTATCTCATCACTTTATATCATTACTATCTCATCACTTTCGCATCACATTCTCTCTCATCCCTCTATCCACAGCTCCAATTAGCACGGTTGGCTATGTACGGTGTGAAAGAAGTTCAACATACATACATACATTTCTTCACATTCTCTCTGTCACTCAATGTTTACATTTTTGGGATTTTTAACTATTTAAACTAAACTATTTTTTATTTATTTAACCAGGTAAGGCCCACTGAGCTATGTAGCTCTTTTTCAGAAGCGATCTGGCCACAAATGATAGCCCAACGAAGTGGCTTATCACGTGGAAATTCATTGCAGCCAAATACTCTAAAGGTACCTTTCTAAATGAGGACCCCAAGAAATATCCACACGGCCACGCAAACTCCAAATATACAGCAGGCGTCAGGGTCGAACCCACAGCCCCCTGTATACCAGGCGAGGGAGATAACATCTTGCCAAGCAAGGGGGGGCAGGGGGAGGATGGGAGGATGCCCTCCCCCCATCTTTCCCCTGTGTCTGCCACTGCCAACCACCCACCTTGAACTGCACGGCTGGGGGAGACGCCGCCGCAGTGGAGGGCAGTGTGCCGGGGTGCCGTGCCGTGCGAGCGGGCGAAGTGACGGGGAGCTGTGCGGCGGGGTGACTGCAGCACCACGGCAAAAACGACATCACACTGGTGCCGAGGTCGGCGCAAAGGAAAGTGCAGAGAAATTGGCAAAGGGGAGTGGCCAATCATTCATGGCATTTCTCACAAATGGTCTGTATGCGTGAATAATATTGAACTTCTTTCACACCGTACGTTGCCAATCCTGCTAATCGGAGGCACGGGGAAGGAGAGAAGTTCAACATATATATACACATCGGCATCATGTCAAGAAACCTCCCTTGGGAACTGCCACAGTGAGCAGTGTGCATGAGCGTATGGCTAGTAGTAGCGCAAATTACCCTTCTAAGAGCAGATTTTATAGCAATAAATGTGACACCTCGACGTAAATATCACCTTTACGAGTTGTAGAATGTTTATAATCGAAACTAAATGGTTAATGTTGACCCACGACTGGTTACGCAAATGCCTAAAAACCTTTCTCAGGTCTGTCGGATGGTTGTGAGAGTCATACAGAGAAAGATACAATGAGGGTTTAGAAACAGTACAAGGGTTTAGAAACAGTACAAGGGTTTAGAAACAGTACAAGGGTTTAGAAACAGTACAAGGGTTTAGAAACAGTACAAGGCTTTAGAAACAGTACAAGGGTTTAGAAACAGTACAAGGGTTTAGAAACAGTACAAGGGTTTAGAAATAGTACAAGGGTTTAGAAACAGTACAAGGGTTTAGAAACAGTACAAGGGTTTAGAAACAGTACAAGGGTTTAGAAACAGTACAAGGTTCAGGGGACGTAAGTTAAGGCACTGCCTCACAGGGGTTCGGCTAAGAGGGCCATGATTAATGTAATGGAAAGAATGAGAGGCCTCCAAGTTTCACCGGGCAGTGCTGAATCATTAACCGGTAGCAGTAACTCAAGGAGCCCATGATACTCATCTAGATGACTCAGCACAACATGATCATGCATTCTTAAATAAGAACCCACAGTACGAATATTTTTGTTTCCAGAATAATCATGCTCATACTGCATTAGAAAAGAATTGTTCAGGCTGGATAACCCGGTGATCTAGGTGCCATGCTCCAAAGTTGACGTGTGCGGTGGTGACATCACCGTGCACAGAGGAACCGAAAAACAGATAGACACAGAGTCAAATTGCGAGAGTACAGAGAAGCCACGAGAAAGGTGGAAGAGACACATGGTTTTGTATAAGTTTAAAAGTTTTGCTGGCTGGGTGGGATGGACGGTCACGTCCAAAGAATGTGCGGGTTGCTTGTGTCTGTAAAACAAATTTTTTGTGTGTTACATTTAAACAATTTCCTCCAGATGTATTCTGGGAATGTTACAGATTTCTTTATTTTTACAGATTTCAGTCAAGTGGTCTTGGCTCTTCACTTTAAGATGTAATTCAGTAACAAACGTAGGCAATTACATTTAATTACCATAATGTTGTAATTACCATGTCAACTGTAACGGTAATCTTTTTAAATCACATAATTACTGCATCGGAGAGTGGTGGTGGTGTGGCAAAGTATTGTAAAAAAAAACACACGACTTATAAAGCTCTCACGCTCTGGTGTAGACCCTTCCCCCAGCAGTGGGTTCAGCAAGCAATGACAGGGCTGCACCTTTATCATGGTAGGTGAGGCAAGCTTACCCATGAACACATCACTCAAGTGACTGAATGGAATGTGAAAGGTGGTTGGTTTTGTTATCGAGTCTGTGATGTGGACAAGGAGCGTTACACCTCACCTGTATGATAGGGCCTCGTCTCCATGCAGAATAGCGGACCTGTTCTGCAAGATTTTTCTTCTTTGAGTTTCGAATTTACTCCCTAAACACATCAAGCAGAACATCAACTCGTTTAGTAACAGGCATTTGTACCTTTGTCCAATAAGACCTAGGAGCAGATGGGAAGACAGTAGCATCGGTAGAGTGGGCGGTAAAAGATCGGAATCGTGGGAAGGAAATCGTGAATACAGTATATGAGAAAACTTACAATGCATTTATCCAATGTGTTTTTGGGTTGTACCGTGTGTTGTTTGGTACAATATCCGACGTTTTGCTCCACATGCCAGGAAGGAGCAGCCTTCTGGGAGCGAATAATTTCAGCACAGATTACACTGTTGGGATGTGTAAAAAAATACTGTGATATTTTAAGAGGGGTAGACACATGTATGTGAAGGTTTATTATGTGCTCATTGAATTAGTTGTGATAATTTACACTTATAAAGTGCGTTTCACCCAGAGGTCGCAAGGCGCTGCACAGCGCTAAAAGCAAGCAAGTAAAAAACTCTAAAACCTCATGTAAGCAAGCAGGCTCATGATTTAACGACAGATACAAATACCCCTCCCCCACACCTCCCAAAACATAACAAAATTAATCAGGAGAAAATGCCTTTAAGAAAAAAAATGTCTTAAGGCGGGATTTAAATAATGCAAGGGATTTAAAGCTTTCGTGACTGCAATGATTCATCTTCTTTGGTTCTTTCGGTAAAGTCACGTAGAATGAGAATAAAATAATAAATTGATAAAATAAAATAACACAATAATATTCTCACGACGTTTCGGCCACAACACAAGCGGCCTTCATCAGGTGAAGGGACGAGACTGTCTGGTGAAGGCCGCTTGTGTTGTGGCCGAAACGTCGTGAGAATATTATTGTGTTATTTTATTTTATCAATTTATTATTTTATTCTCATTCTACGTGACTTTACCGAACGAACCAAAGAAGATAATGCAAGGGAGTTATGTATGTATGTATGATGAACTTCTTTCAAACCTCCAATTAGCACAGTTGGCTACGTACAATGCGAAAGAAGTTCAACAAAAACAGACAACCCGTACGTAGCCAACTGCGTTAATCGGAGGTGCGGGTTGCTTATATTCTTCACAACGAGGAAGACGATGATAATTTGATGCTCAAAATCTGTTGGGTCACCTCCTTATTTGCAGCCCATTTCCTGCACCGAATTTGTGTTTTACTGTCCACTTCTTGGCTGTTCTCCAGATCTATCGTGGAAGAATTTGGGTCTCAATCGGCGAGAAGCAGCTTGAACATTTTAAGGGGGATTTTTTTGGTCAATGCTGCCCCCTAATGGGCTGCCCGGATGGCTGGATTACGTAACAACGCAATGCGAATAAAAACAAACCCAGAATGAGCACTGCTCATTATCTCTAATATACTTAAAATCGGCACACAGCTGTGATGGTAATCGTGTTGCCACATATTGTAAATATTAATAGCTACGATCCTGACTGTGAAAATATTTTTTTTTACTTTGGAATCTGAAAGTGTTTTGTAGGCCCTTTGCCTTTTAAGTAGAGTATTGTACTGGGTTAGTCAACTCCTGGCCCCTGCGACGCACATCCGAGGCCGTGGACTTGTCATGGGCCTACCACACAGTCTGGATGAAGGGCTCTTTGTTGAAGCTCGAAAGGACCATTCCCTGCCTCGAAACAATAGGCCTGAAATGGACGATGCTTAGAAATCGGTGACTGCGTGTCTGTGTAGCCGACAAAGCCAGCTTTGTGTTGTTAATAAATTAACAACACAAGTGGCCGAAACGTCGTGAGAATTTTATTGTGTTATTTTATTAATTTATTATTTTATTCTCATTCTACGTGACTTTACCAAAAGAACCAAAGAAGATGAATCCTTGCAGTCACGAAAGCTTTAAATCGAAAAAGCCAGCTCACCCCGGTTAAACAATGGTTTGCTACAAGTTTCAGTAATCGCGCCAACACTCGTCAATGTCTATATGAATGACATGCTGCCAACCGGCTCGCGCAAATGTTTATACGTGGATGATCTTGCCCTGGCAACATAATCAGCCACTTGCAACGACATCGAATCTACTCTGAACCAAGACCTAAACATTATGGGAGAATATTTCCGGAAATGGAGGCTAAAGCCAAATCCCCACAACGATCACTGCATTTCATCTTGATAATAGAAGCACCAAGCACACTCTGAAAGTGACCTTCTGCGGCAACACTGTGCGACATGACCCCACTCCAATCTATCTTGGAGTGAAGCTGGACCGTACGCCAACTTTCCATAACCACCTGAAACAAACCAAAATAAGGGTCAGCCTGGTCCAGAAACGGGCAATCACAATCTGGGGAGAATCAGCACCCTCAGTGCTACGGACATCAACGAAGGCACCTGTGTACTCTGTAGCCGAGTACTGTGCAACAGTATGAACCAGAAGTAGTCACACTCCACTAATTTATGTCCAACTGACAACTGCAATGTGGTGTATCACTGGAATCCTCAAGTGGACCCCAATACCTTGGCTGCCCGTGCTGTCACGAACATCACCGCTGACCCATCCCCCGCAATGATGCAACCCTTCAAGAAGTCGCACGTATCGATTAAAAACGGTCGCCTTCCCACTCATCAGGACCTCAATAACTTCCCACGTCATCGCTTGAAGTCACGCAAGCCCTTTTGGACCTATGCGCTTAACCTTCAACAATGCAAATTCAACCCCGATAAAGATTGGAGAGCTGAATGGAGTTCAAAAGAACTCGCAAACACCCTGTGAAAGACCCAACGCAGAAGATCCCAGGGGGGTTTTTATCTTCCATGAAGCTCATGGTCCACCCTAAACCACATCCGCACAAACCATGGCAGTAGATGCGGATACCTGATGCACAAATAGAAAATGTAAAACTCTCCAGCAGTGTGCGACTGTGGTCATCCAGAACAGATCGTATAACAACGCGACGACCGATCCACAAATACAAAAGATACATCACAGCGATAAACTTCTGTGCTCCTGACGCGGTTGTCTGGCTTGACCACCTGAATGTGAAATATGTAGTTGTTGCTCAGCATCAGCAGCTGTACGGAAGAAGAAGTCAACTCTTTAGGTTGATGTCAATCAAGTGCAGATTGGGCATAGGCTGTCAAAATCTAAAATAAACATTCAACATATTGTATAACACCGAACTGTATTATAAGGATGATGATAATTCATGATTTCATGTTTACTGCTGCCACCATCTCCAATTACTGCTCATTCCACCACAGATGTGTGATAATATTCAAGTTTATTTGTTTAACCAGGTGTAAACTAAAGAGACCAGGATAGTCTCATTTGCATTAGTGACCTGCAGGCATTAGTATGATAAGAGTCACTACCTACAATGTGCTACGACACTTCATCGCTTATGTATCTTCCTATTTTCCATGACTTAGCTGGGAGGCTGGGGCAGGGAGTAGCAGCTGGGGTAGTGTTAAGGGTAGGCCTGGTCGTAGCTGGGAGGCTGGCGCAGGGAGTAGCAGCTGGGGTAGTGTTCAGGGTACGTCAGGTCGTAGCTGGGAGGCTGGGGCAGGGAGTAGCAGCTGGGGTAGTGTTCGCGGTAGACCTGTACGTAGCTGGGAGGCTGGGGCAGGGAGTAGCAGCTGGGGTAGTGTTCAGGGTAGGCCTGGTCGTAGCTGGGAGGCTGGGGCAGGGAGTAGCAGCTGGGGTAGTGTTCGCGGTAGACCTGGTCGTAGCTGGGAGGCTGGGGCAGGGAGTAGCAGCTGGGGTAGTGTTCAGGGTAGGCCTGGTCGTAGCTGGGAGGCTGGGGCAGGGAGTAGCAGCTGGGGTAGTGTTCAGGGTAGGCCTGGTCGTAGCTGGGAGGCTGGGGCAGGGAGTAGCAGTCGGAACAGCAACGGTTAGGGCAGGGGTCGGAAGCTTGCGCCTCCGGAGTTGCGTGCGGCACTTTAAGAACTGCTTCGTGACGATACTGCTTAAGGACCACCGTTTCGTATTCACATGCTTTGCGGCTCTAGAAATTGAGTATTTTTTACAGAATAAAAACAATGGCTCGTTATGTTGGTTGCCGAACCCTGGGCTAGGAAGAACAAATTGATTTTAAGGGATAAATTAAGATAATTGTTTGATGTGCTACAGTGGAAGTTGGTTCCAATGAAGGGGAGCAAGAAAGCAAAAGGAACGAGAGAGCAAGACTGGGCACAGCAGAGCGAGGGAGGCAGAGAGACGGTAGAGATCGGAAGCATAGAGGATGTGATGGGCCACAGTATTAAGAGATGAGAGAGGCAAGATAAGGTGGGGCAAGACAATGAAGGGATTTATAGACCAGAGTGAGACATTTAAACGGGCAGCGATAGTAGACAGGGAGCCAGTGGAGTTGGGAAAGGAGAGCAGAAGTGTGGGAATTGTGTGTGGGGGAGGAAACGTGCGTTGAGGTTATTTGGCTACTATACATTCACACGTGATAAGCCACTTTGTTGAACTATTATTTGTGGCCAGGGCGCTTTTGAAAAAGAGCTACCTCAGTGAGCCTCACTGTTTGTTGTAATTTTCTGACCCTGCACCCCTGCTGGACATTTGAGAAAAAGAGCTTCGTAGCTCATCGGATATCTCCTCCAGGATAAATAAAGATTCTGATTTTGAAAAATGATCCGGGCTTAGGCATGTTGTATCTGCTGGAGAGGAGCGAATGACTAGGCAGGAAGTACATATGTACTGTACACTGAAACCTGTTAAACCTCATCGCCACCTCCTCCCCTTTTGTATACATTGACACCGATAGATTCTGACGCAAAGGCTTTGATGCATTCCCGTGAGTGTAAGTCGATTTTAAATGATGAATCATGTTTTTTCTTAATATTCGAGATAGTCATTTCAATACTGCACCTTTAACTTTTTCCATTCTACTCTTGAGAAGCGACGTCATACAACCTTGTAAGGCCACACAAATTATAAGATGACATTCTTGTTTG